AAAGAGAAAAGGCAAGAAGAAAGTTCACTTCCGTTAGGTAGGTTTGTATATTACAGAGATGAAAGCAGGGTCACTGGACGTGGCCAGCTAAAGGACCTTAATAAAGGGGGGAAAGTACGTTCAGCGTTGGTCATGTATGCAGAATGAGCAAAGTTTCTGTATTCTTAGGAAGCTAATACGCATCCCAGTTTATCTTCCTGATATCCTGCCCGTCTACATGACGCTGGATCACAAGAACTGAAACGGGGACAGAAGTATGATAGATACTGCCAGATAAAGTCCTTGAGGAAATGATTAGTAAGTTATTTAATGCAATGATGGCTTAAGCTAGCTGGGAAGGTGCACTCTTCCCAAAGCTGACTCTAGTATCAAATAAACCTATCATCAGAGAGCACAGGCAAATCTTGAAGGACTCAGCCTAAGAAGACAGAGGAGGCTGAAGCAGTTGAAAATGTTTCTGGGCACTGGGTATGCGCCACTGACCTTTGGCTGCTGGACAGAGTTCTCTCTTAGATTCGCTCTTTCGAAATTTGTGCAGGTGAAGGTGCCATCCAGACGTCCAGCTAAAGAACAAGTGGATGAGGGATGAGCAGAATCCAGAAAGCATATCCCATTCTGTAAAATGTAAAGAGATGTCATGGAGAAACTTGTGAGACAGTAATGAACAGATGAGATGGAAATGTATTGGACTGGTGCAAGTCAGGACTCAAAATGGAAATTACTGCAAGCTAGTTTTCTTAAAATGTGATTGTAATAGTCAAGATCATCCAGAGAATGGATAACGTGAGAGAAGCTAAAAGTCAGGATGAAGTTCTGCTGGAAGAGAAAAGGAGGCCCAAGAGAGTAGAAAAGAACAAGGACGGACACACAATAAAAATGAGGGAAAAATCTGCCTTGTAAATTAATGTAACCTCAACAGCAGTAGATGTATTTAGGGCACACATACAGAAAGTTTCTCTACCTGCCAGTGGATGTTGTTAACTTCATTTATACGATGAAACTTTTTAATCAATCAAGATGTGCTGTAATGACAGCAAAGTTTTAAGGATAGAAGGAAGCCATATTAGAAATAAAACTGTGCCTCTCAAATACATGATAATTTTTCAGCAAAAATGGCTCTTCTATTCATTGAGGATTCAGGCAGCCAATTTTTCTACCATTGACTAATTATAATCAGTCTAATCAACTAAAGTTTTCCCCCCGAGTCCGAGCTCCCTCCTTACACATTTTAATTCACTGGAGGCCTGCGCTGTACAT